TCTTCGGGACAACTGTCACCAACTGCTTGATCTTCATTCCAAAGGCAAGTCAAACGAATTATAGTATTGGGATTTGTATGACTTAAATACATTTACAACAGCTTTCTTGGCATGTAACTCTGACTTTGTAGCAGTAACATGGAGAAATTTTAACATTTAATTGTTTATGCTAATGAAAATTACCATATTCATGAGCCAAAGAGTGATGTCATTCAAGGCAGGACAGTATATAGGTTTGTGTACTAATAAATGTCATATTTTTCTTTATTTTCTTGGAGTAGGTTCAATTTTTTACTCGTTTATCAAAATGAACAGCTTGTTTCGACAATAGTAGCCAAAAGTCTTGAAAATTGTTTAGGAGTAATTTTAAAGGACTAATTGTTGTACTGTCTATATGCACTTTTGACAAGGAGTACCTTGTGTGACAAAAGCCAAATAGCGCCCGCTTACATGTATTAATGAAAGTATTGAAAAATTACCACTGTCTTGTATTAAGATCTTGTATGTATTGTTGCAACACATAAAATGCGCATGAAAACAACAGTGGCGCAGCCAGGATTTGGTTTTTGGGGGACTCATTTTTTTTTTCAAAAAATGTTGCCCAAATTTTTGGCCGCAGAAAAAAAATGATTTATTTCGGGGGGAAGACTAGTTTGACTTTGGTGGCGCCACTTACTCCCATGTTAAACTACTCGAAAATATGCCACATACATATATCACCAAGGTAAAATCGTGGGACAAAAAAAAAAAAAAAAATTACCCCCCCCAAAAAAAAAATGACAACCTCTTGGGGGGGGGGGGGGGGGGGTCGCTGTACGGTTCTGACAGATATGACTGTTTTTGAGTTTGTAGTGCGTCAGTACTGAGTATTGACGCAAAGCAAGCATCACATCCATCAACTCCAAGGAAGCCAAATCGACCCATTTGGTAGGGATGGTCATATGATGACCGATGGAATTTTACAATGTTGGCAAAGTATTTGACTCAAGAAAACATTTAAGTAACGTCCTTTGTTTAAGGATTATCTTTGAAGCCTTTTGAGATTTTCCGTTGATTAATGAGCACATGTCTACTATTCCATTTGGCAGGTTTTTTTCAACGAGAATGATCATTTAACGAAATACATCCACTTGATGACGGGAGAGAAGACAATGGGAAGCAATTACAGACTTAGAGGGTGGGAGGAAAACCCAAGAAAACTATTCTGGGAAAACCCATGAATCAGATAGGGACTAAAAACCCACTCCACAAGTGGACCAGGGCAGGAATCGAACCCGGGCCACGGCGGTGGAAAACGAGGACAGTAACTACTGCGTCAACAGACTCCCCATTTTTTTGCAGGTTTTAAAAAGGAATTTCTAGCTCGCAAGTTTTTTTACAAACCTCGACCTAAAACAATATTGATCACAAAGACATTTTTAAGTTTAGAGGTGGTAGGAAAAAGAGAATATATTCAGGCGAGAGTCCACGGTAATCAGGAAGGGACTGACAACTCAATGTACACAGCGACCAGGTGGGATTCGAACCCGGGTCACAGAGGTGAAGGTTGAAGAAAGCAACGCTGTGCCAACCTAAAATCCAATTCACCATAGGGTCTTTTTTCCCAGAGCTTAGATTTTGAAAACTAAAGGTTGAAAGTGAAAAACAAAACATACCTTCATCCCAGCCATTCCTCTCCCTTTTCCCGACTCCTCTCTTCTTCTCCGCTTGTTTTGGGTAATTAGTGTGTCAATTGTATTCAGTTCTCCATTCAAAGTTGTATAAGTTTACTTAATACAACTTTACAACTTCAGCCTTCAAAAATAAAGCCTTATAAATAAACCACTTTTTATATAAACTTTATAGCAATTTCTAATTTTTTTTCTTCAAATAAAATTTAAAAGTACAGTTTAAGAAACAGTTCTGTACATCGAAACGGCAAAAAGGGGGAAATGAATAAACACTTGACAAATCCATTCAAAAGAGGGTGCACTTTAAGTAAAGCACAGCAGGGCGCTGTTTAAACGAGTAGACTTCAATTTTAATATCCAGCGGCTCAAAATCGCTATACCGAACGACCGCTCTGACGAATTTTGTATAGCGGCGTTCTACTTTATCCACTTCAAGTGATTTTAACCTGTAGTCATGCATATACTACAGATTAATGCGCTCTGGCAGGAAAGACACGGTGAGGTGCTTCAGGACCAGCGCCTCTTCACGACCAACAACCAGATAGCCCCGCAGAGAGCATTCACCGCGAACCGGAGCGTTAACATCAGCTCATTGACCGTGCTGAGGGAGAAAGACAAAGAAATACAGAAACTCAAGAATCAGTTGACACAGGTGACACCAAGCTCCTGGGACAGAAATTGCATGCGCATCGGAACGAAATGTCTCGTTTCCTTCATCATGTGTGTGTATACAGGTTAATGAGTTTGAACAAAATATGACATTATGAACCCCAATTCCCAAAGGTCCACAATTTGGCGATCGTGAAAACAAAACATATTGGGAGGTCTTCCTAAATTGAGTTAGGGTTCAAACAAAAGAGGGGCAGTAGGGAGTCCCATTGCAGGCAAATTGTGTGCTGTATCCACCTCCGAAAGTGGAAAATGACTAGGGTCCATAATCGGACGAAGGTTCAAAAAATCATACGGATGTTCTTCCCTACAACAATGGAAGGACGAGAAGTCCATGGTGGAAGGTGTTCAAATACGTAATGTGTATTCATCTAGTACAGTCGTTGTGTGGACTTGTGAACAAAATGTCAACACAATACAGAACAAAATAATAAATTAAATCTCCTTGAGTCGTTTTGGGGTTACGGTTATTCGTGGGGGAAAAACAACTCACACATCCCTATGTGATTTGTTTTCGTTTTGCTGAAAGAACACTGACTTTTTTTGTGTTCCGTGGACAGAACTTTAAAATGACGCTTGTGTTTAAAATTCGGTAACTTAAAAAGTACATAAGTGTATTGAATGATTCTTGCACTAAAGAAAGCTTATGCATTGGACTTTCACATCCTAGATATGCTACATGGGGAATTTGACTGAAACAATGGTCCGGATAATGTTATATATTTGGGATATTTTTTTGGGGGGGGGGGGTTAAAACTCGTCCAGTCTGACGTTTTCGGCATTTGGAAATTGAAATAAAAAGTCGCGAAAATGTGCGTAATTCAATTTGATGGGAGATTAGCATCATGCAACGAGAGGTATCTTTCTAAGCAGGGCAAGGGGATATATAAAAAAAATAAACATACAATATGAATTTTGATTCCTATTTTCCCTGTTATATTATCAGAAGGAGCTTAAAGTTGAGGGATTGTTGGAACTGATCAGCAAGATGAGACTGAAACCGGAGTAGAGCATCGATGGGAGTACCACGATAAGACGAACGTACACAGTCGCTGTGTACACCCCAGACATGTTTGCGCTACATACCTAGTGTGGACATTCTTTTGTTTTCGTGTAGTTAAGAAAACCTGTGAAAAAAATCATTTTACTCACAATGTGAAAACTCTTTTAATCCAATTTTTGTTCTATGATTACCTAATAGGCATCTTAACCCGTTTTCCAGAGAGGGAAAAACATTGTGTTGACGTGGGCAAGTCCGCACAACGTCGCTGCTACCTGGTTTATGTGGACCTCTTTTGTTCGGAAGTCCACACAGTGAATGTAATGCTTGTACTCCCGTTTCCGCAAACACACACTTCCACACGCAAGACAACAATTAAATTGCATCCAAATCAAACAATAAACAGGACATAAACGAACAAACGGACTAGACGTGGAGGTACTGCAATGACGAGACCAACCATCAAACACAAAACGAAACAATTATACACACTCACAATCACATCATCATTGAGGGGACTCACCATGACCAGAGTAAAACAGACATCAATATCCAGCAGACTACCAGGGGCCAATTTCACAGCGCTGCTCAGCACAAAAATTTCCTTAGCACAACAAAGTCTGGCTTATAAAAGCAGGTTGCCAGCCCAAACTCCATGTGATGTATATTGCTTGTGATAGGTATTCAGCTGTTGTCTGCTAAGCATGATATTCACATGGAGTTTTGGCTGGTTTTCTGCTCTTATATAAGCAAGACTGTTTTGTGGTCTGCAAATTGTTGTGCTTAGCAGCGCCGTGAAATTGGACCCTGGACCAATCAAACAACACAGTTGGACAAAACTAACCCAACTACCATTATCAAACAAATGTGTAGCGGGAGATGAGATCAATCTAGTCATGATCAGAAAAGAGAGCAGTACATTTCAACAACCACATCAGAATAAGGGAAGGTAGGAACATTAGCCGGTAATTCAGACCAAAGCCGGGGAAATTGATGATTTGCAGAAACAGCAATAAATTGTTCGCTTTGGTAACTGTTTATTGGAATCTGAAAGACACCGTTATTTCCTGCCATCAACTCCGCAAACCGTGTCTGGTCGTAACATTAGCTCTCCCCCGTTCAAGGACCCAGAGGTATAAACTGTCACCGATTCCATTCATGGTCACAATGTTGAATACAAATTCTTATTGTGTATTTGTATATTGTAGTGCAATTTTGTAATTTGTATCACTTTGATCGAATCCGGCCTTTTCATTTTTATTTTGTCATTAATGTTTTACTATTGTATAAATTTATTTTAAATTTGTAAATCAGACATTGTTAGTCTTGTACTTGCTGTTTAATCTGTATGTGTAATAAACCGTAATAAATGAAGGAATGCAAGGCCCGTGTTCTGGCATACAGATGTTTACATTTATAAGATCAGCATATCTCCCATTAACTACCAAATTTGTGACAACATCATAATTAACAAGATTAAATGATCCCCTGATTACCAACGAAGAGAGGAAAAGTTTGCCACGAATAAATTACCCTTTTAGTGTACGACATGTCCCCATATTTTGTTGCCCGAGAAAACGAGTCCCTTGTTTTTTAGCTCGATGTTATGCATCAATATGCTTGGACTAAATGTAACCAAGCAGACATTTCATACTCCAAAAATGACGTGGCTAGTTGTTGGTAGGTGGCAAATACGGGGAGACATTGTGGCACAACAGAACACGGGAGACAAAGCATATACATGTAATGTATACGAAGTCAGAGACGCCATATCAGAAATACGCGGGGTATGGCATTCGAGTGCAATGCTCAAATAGTTCAAAGTTGAAAAAAAATCATGTGTAAAGCTTCGAGTAAATGAGTCTAAAACAACTCCGAAACTCACAGATATTGAAGCCACATACAGTCTCCCCTTGTTGGTTTATAATGGCAGCAGGATGGACGACAAAAACGAAAAATCACATGGATATAAACATAAAATAAAATCGACGAGAATAAAAGCACTGATGAAACGATGAAGGACGCCCTCACATCGATCTTCATTGTATCGTCGTCTCCTTGTGTTCTTTGGAATGAATTAACATACTCTCAGGTGTCAGTTATTTGTTTAATGTAGATAGTATTTTTTCTCCGGTCATCCACTTGGCCTACGAAAATTAATAGAGGGGGGGGGGTGGCTTGTACCATACTTTCAATGGGGGCGCTCTGCGCTGTTCAAATTTGACGATTAATAACACTATATTATAAAATAGTTCACAAAAGCCCCCTAACGAAGCTGGCTCTGTCCGTATTTTGTGCACAGGCGGACATTACACCAGTATATTTTTGGGGGTGTCAGAGCGGGGGTAGGTCTCATTGTTTTTAAGGAATTTCTATGAAAAAATGTCAGAGCTGGGAGGGGGGTGATGATCCCTCCGCACCCCACCGAATCCCCGCCTGGTGGACCATCGCCATAATTATTGTGGACCCTATTGTCCTCTTTTGTTCATAGTCTAAAATTAAATCAACATACTGTACCCTGGCTTCTACGGGGACTATCCCCCCCCCCATCAAAAAAAATAATTTCCGTGCCGTCTTGGTCACAAACAATTTGGTTCTGAATCCGTCCTTTGGGTGCACTAACTATTTTTATATTCTATAATGTATGTTATGTATAGATGTAACATGTACATTTCAAATGTTGCAAACAAAATTATTGGCCAAGTCTCATATGCAACCAGTACAAAACAAATCATGTAAATTTCTTAAATGATTCTGCGGAGCCAAAAAAATATTAGCCGTTTCCACAAGCATTCGGTGTCGTATTTTCAATGTGCAATCGACAAACGGACCCGATTAAAAGGTATACATTAATATATCAGGTCTTGGTTTTTTTACGAATGTAGTTTTGTTCATGTTCAGAGGCACCGGCATTTGCATACATCAAAGTTTCATGTAAAAATGTTCATGCTTAATTTGTTGGACTAAGCATTGCAAACCTGTCCTTTCCGTTTATTATGAGTTTATTATGATGTTTTATGCCGCGTGCCAATTACTTGGTTACGGATGGCAATAACCATCTTTTAGCCTATTAAAGATAATGTGACGGGCAGAATAGGAGGGCGCTGTTTGATTTGGCTGAACTCTTTCGTATTTACCCAAACTAAACAGTCCCCTCATATAAGCCTTTTCGGAGTTCCACTGCGCGCATTCGTAACGTGTGACAACGCACATTATTTGTCTCAAATGCCCTTTGACAGTACCCACAATGCACAAACAGCCTTTTTGTAAAGTCAGTGGCGCGATGATGTCAAAGGTCATTTAAGACAAACAATGCGCGTTGTCACAGGTTACGAATGCGCAGTTGGAACCCCGAAAAGGCTTATTGTGTCCGTCCAAACTTCGCGTTAATCCATGCATAAAATCACTTGTGTTTGGATAAATTATTGCAACAAATTACAAATTGCAAGTGCGTCCGTTCATCCAATAAAGTAGGCATGTTGTTAGAACTTAGTGTAAATTGTATCTTGTATTGTGTCCCTAACTGTAGTTATTTTTTTAACCAAGGTTTTAGTTTAGTTACCAAACGGAAGTGGATTTTTTTCGTTCGATGTCTTAATTAAAATGTGACTATAAACTGTTACATTTGTAGGAAAATAGCAATTAGACAAATTTATATATTTTTGGAAGGTGAACTCACAATTAGCATTAAGAACCATTTTATTAATGAGCTGCTATGAAAAGTGAATGAGGTGATTTTACTTCCCCGGCTAAATAATTGGAAAGAAAATAACAGTTTTGGTTTGTAACGACTAATAAACGTGGTCAACTCCTTTTGACACATTTGTATTCAAACAAACGCCATCAACAGCACCCTCGTATATTGTGGCCACAATAGTAGTTTTCGCCCATATACAGGATCGGTTGCAGGCAGGAATACACTTAAATTGTCGAATAATTCTCGTCGGGCGTCGCTTTTACGTCAACTAAAATCCGTGGTTAAGGTAAATAATTTAACACAGTGGCCAACACACGATCAAACTATATGTCTATCTTTGCTAAGATTAAGACAATATTAAGATTAAGAGGGCGCTGTTGAATGCCAAGAATAATTTGAAGAACTTGCAATATAGAAGACTAGCCGTTGCATGCGCCTATAATGTTTTATCCAAAGTGCACAGAAACCCATACTTTGTTTATTTGTGATGCGATCAAGCTAAATGAGTCGTTTGTTGGGAATTTTTAATTGAAGATACAGGCAATGTCACTACCAAGAAGAGCGGAAAGTAGATTTGGTTCTTTTGTTTATTTATTTACAGATCTTAGGAATACATGAGACTTGACTGGCAGGCCTATTCTATACAAAAACAAGTACATGTATAGGCGACTGATTAACGTCATAATATTAAAAGCGGCATTAACATTTTTAACTAGTCAAACACTCGGTGGTACCTTTTATACTGTGTATTGGAGTTCTACCATTGTACATAAAATAATATTATTATACGGATCACTTTTGCGACTCGAAATAACTGGTATAACAGCATTGATATTTTTTTTAGGAAAGAACTATGCGACAGCAACATGTACATTGTATCTCTTTGCCCTGACAATGCACTCTGGATGGCATTTGGAACTAAAAAGAGTTCCATAAACTGCTTTCCGGAAATAAACATCCTGTTACACTTTCAATTCTGGCATATTGGTCAAAGCTTTGGTTTCCATAACTTATGTAGCACTGGATAGGTAATACGTGTTCTGAGCACTTCATTTCTGACCATATTAACGTGACTATGCATGACATGGTCGAAATAATATACGTGATAACTACAGTGACATCTATTGTTTATGTTTCAGAAGCCATCGACGTTAGTTTCGTTCATGACTTCCTTGAAATGAAAATAGCTCTTTGGTGACCTCACTTAATACTTCGGATTTTCGTTTGTACTTGGCTGTGACGCGTTGAGTTAGCTCCGCTGATTTGGGACTAACGAACATAACCGTCGCTCTTCATGAAATGAATCCGTTATACGGGATTATTTACATCTGCGTGTTTGGTACCGCATGTCACCTTTCTTGTGGTAAGTCAAATTATGCCCACACCAATTGAATTTGTTTTTATTCTGATTGTTACTCCTTTAGTGCAAGTTATCCCAACAAAAATGCCACAAAGTGCTCAAAAGGATCATCAATTTTGTAAATTCTGATGAGCGTTCACATATAATGGAATTTTTTCTTCAGATTTTCGGGATTGTTTGTGTTTTCACAGAGAAAATTTTGACAGCGGTGGAGGGAGAAGATGTGGGGCTGGAATGCGAAGCAATTGAGTTGGCTGTGACTCCATCGTACAATGGTACAGCTGTCCAATTCGAATGGTTTGCAAATGGATTAGCAATCGCCACATTTATAAAGACCGTTGCAAACTATCCGGTTGTACTTAACAAGACAAATGGGGATTTGACGATCCAGCATGTTTCTGGGTCCTTGAATGGCACAAGGTTTCACTGTGAAGTGTTACGAGGAGGAGGAACTACTCAATCTGAAATTGAACTCATCGTGTTTAATGGTAAGTACACGTGTTTCTGATATTTGTTTTCGTGGAGATGAAAAACATTAATGAATCATATTTGTTTGTTACATATCAGTGTTGGAGGTCTCGACCAAAGTCTTGGTCTCGAGACCAGTCTAAAGCCTATTTTTTCCAGGTCTCGACGATATTGAGGTCTCGGAATGTTGTGGTCTCGGTCTCGACTCCAAATGTCTCGGTCTCGGACAAGGGTCTCGGATCAAGACCTTGACGAGACCCGTTAAATATTCCAGAGTGTTTGAAGGCAATCATTCGATTAACCGCTTATTGAGTAGACACAACCAGGGCAAATCATAACGCATAGTGCATGTCAAAAGAATTTCCGCAGGGAGAGCACGCTTATCGCTAGCATATCGCCGCTCAGTTAGTAGCATGGACAGTTTGTCATGTCATTGATCTCGAGCTGAGTTCTGAGAGCTTTCAGTTTTGGACATACAATCGTGTCAGATACCCGACATTGTATAAACTTTCTCTGAGAACACTAAAAGTCCCTGCCTCCAGTGCTCCTGCGGAACGCATCTTCAGCATAGGTGGAATCGTAATGAGACCACACAGGGCTAGATTGTTAGCCGATAACTTAACACAGTTGATGTTCTTGAAGTGCAATGAGGACATTATGCAGAATTGCTATAGCCTTCAATACTACTATCAACTTGCTGAGATAAACCTGTTTTTGGCTAATTCAATCGGGCATGTTCCATTTGTTGAACTTCAGTTCTGTCGCACTCTAAAAATGTTCAAAGAGCCACAAACAGCACATACCTGCATGAATTAGTCAAACCATTAGAACATCAAACCATTAATAAAAAAATTGCCAAAATGTACCCGGCTATTTTTTAAAGGCATGGTACAGCATTAGTTTTTTTTACGTTTTGAAGAGTTTCGGCATTAAATTTGCATTGATATGTGCACACGTTTGTTCACAACTTGCTAGTTATTGTGTGTGTTTTTTTTTTAAATGAGGTCTTGGCCTCGGTCTCGGACTATGAGGTCTCAGTCTCGGTCTCGGATGGGGAAGTCTCGGTCTTGGTCTCGGTCTTGGACTTTGAGGTCTTGACTCCAACACTGTTACATATTACACGTTACAAGATTGAACTATTTCTGGGAGCCTGAATGCTACAAATATAACGGATGATCAGTACAACAATCTGAACCGGTATCTCCCTACCAGGGTTAGAGCTACAGTCCATCATTTGCAGCTATCAAAACAGTGGGAGTAAACTCCCTGTGAAATTATTCATTCGGGCAAGCTGTCATTTTGAAGAAATCAATATACGAGGGTCACTCAACGATGCGTCTGAAGATGCATTCTTGGAAATATCCGTTGGTAGGCCGAGCTCGTTTTTAATTCGTCGAAGCGCGCGCAAGCTATGGTCTATCATGCTTGCGTGAACAGATTCGCTAATTAATTAGGCAAGACCCCACCTCTTGACCTCCTAGATTCTGACCAATCAGTGGGTTCCTTCTATGTCGCTTCGTCGGTCATTCATTCCTTGCGCTTCAAAAACAATGGATAAAAAATATGTGTCACGCGCTCTGTATCATGTTATTCAATATCGCGCCCGGCTGTTGTTGTATAACAAAACACTGCATTCGCATTGACCAATCAAACCCATTATTCCTGATTAAGGAATGAAACGACGTCACAATTTAGTAAAGTCGACTCAAATTGACTCGCGCGGCTTGCATAAATCTGCATGTCTAGACATATCAGACGTTATAAAGGACTTGGCTTCGTGGATAATGGGTGATACTCAGACAAGCTACAAACGGGCATGAAGCCAAAATGACAAATGATGGACTACACCTTTAACATTATTCTTACGTTGATTAAAAAATACAATGGAAAAGTGCAGAAGAATGGTAAGAGTCATTATAATGAGCACATGAATATTATTTTAACTGTTTGACTTTAAAGGGTGTGTATATATCTGTAAAAAAATGTGCAAACGCCGTGATAGGATATCCCACACCGGGTATAGGCGCGTTACGTAATTATGCAGTTTCGGGAAAGGTGGACGGGGCCATCCCTCTTCATTTTTTTTTATATTTTTAATAAACCGAAAGATGAGTGAGGACAACTTTTTTTAAACGGGTACTAGTGATGCCCAGTCCCTCCGTCAATGTTTAAAGTATGAATAGAATGAGATATCAGAACAGTGGGAAAGAGCGCCCCTAGCGTTAAATGCCCTTCCCTTCTCGGCCCTTTCGACATTTCAACTGCCAGTTGTCCGGTTGGTCTCCCCAAAATAAGAAGAAGGCAGAATCTGCCCAAAGGCTTTTTGATTGCCGCCTCGGGTGTTTTTATCGTAACATTTAATTCAAAAAATCAAGTCTCACTCTCCTCATTACTATATTAATTGATGTTCCTTTGTGCAGAAACAGGATTTACTGAGACGACTTCCGTGTTGAACGGGATACAAAGAGGGGCTATCACTTTGGAATGTTTCGTCAAAAGAGTTCCATCCGGCTTTCCAAATATTAAGTTTAATTGGTTGCTTGGCAACACATTCTTGCACAATGCGTGCACAAATGAGGACGGTGCCAAGGTGGGAAAGTATGACTATCACCATGATAACCATGGCTGCAACTTGACGATTTACGACCTCGAGTTAACCGACGAGGGGCGCTACATATGCGAAGCTCAATATTCGGCAACGACGGTGTGGAAAAATACATCCTTGACAGTTGATGGTAAGTTGAAAGTGGATATACCCGTTTCAATAGACCTGAGACCGAATGACGTCACGCGTTGTTTACATGTGCGCTTTCCGATAAGAGTCAGGATAAGAAAGCGTACATGTAAACATCAGTAGGTCTTAAATTACCGAGGTGTGTTTTGCTATTGATATTTTTGTGCTAAAAATCTATGCAGACGGGTCCAGCAACCACAATAAATGATATTAGGTGGCACCATGTGCGCTCGAAGGTGGTATGTGCGCGCGCACGCAGTGCTGTTTTATCCAATAACGTGTTTAGGGCTGCATCCGAATCAGTTGTCTAGAGCTATGTCTAGGTCTGCGCCCATTGAAAATACGCGGGGACGCGCTGACAATAGACGTAGCCGTAGCTCAGGAAGCCCGTTTCGGACACGGCCTAAAGTTCACACCTAAAGGAACTTGCATGAAGCGCGCACTATTGATTTGGGGGATGTTGCAGAATGTGGTATTTCTACTTAAGTTCTTTCATAGGATTGTCTGTCTTGTCCTGATGCCAAAATAATGTAATGCTTCTCCGCAGTCCCACCTAGAGATGTGTACATCATCAACGCCACTACCGGCGTAATTTGTAGAGGATACGTGAACGTCGGACCAGGCACCGACCAGAGCTTCACCTGCCTGGCCATAGACACCAAACCCCCGGCAGAAATCACCTGGACATTGGCAGGGAAGAACACAAGCGGAGAGACGAGGGTAGTTGGGACGAGATTGTACAACACAAGCAGCACGTTCACCGTGCCGTCGTTTCAGCCTGGTCAACGGGGGAATCTAACATGCACGGCAACTGGGGCAGGAGGGAAGGTGGTCACGAATATTCTGTTGCTCGGCCAACATCAAGAAACAGGTACAGTTTTAGTTTTTGTGTCATTTCTTCTTTTTTCCCTGGTTTGTTGGATACCATAAAATACTATACATAAGTAAATGTATATTGATGTGTTTTGCAAACATTCGAAAACGCAACTGCCTACTTGTTATCGAATAGCTTTTAATAAAGCGTCAAGCATCCTGTGAAATCGTAGTTGTCTGGTACTTTGTTGTTATGTTAAAATATACTAACAATAATGGTTTGGGCAGAGGCATCGCTGTGTAAAACGACCTTGTTAAATAATTGGTTTACGTGTGTTAATAGACGCAAAAAGCAACTATAATTGGCTTCGTGCATATTAGGCACAGTAGGCTTAGCGGGCGTACGTATTATGCCCTTTTCATCTCGGTGTTGTAAACCCGATTTTCTGTATTTTGAAATAATGCGTCCAGCACTACCATTTCGCTCCGCAACACTGAACAAAAGCTGTACAGATTTTTCTAGGATTGCAAAAGCTATTAGGAAAGGTTGGAGTAAAACAAAAAAAATAGGTTTTAGTTTGAATTGAAATTGTGACTGTATTGTCACCTGCGACATTAAAATTAGTTATCAGAAATTAGTTTTCTCAGTAATTTAGAGTACTTGATTTTCTTTGACATTTTAACGTGACGTATTAAAGATGGAGGGTTGGAGTTTGAGACTACAGGGCCAACCCAAAACGACAACAACGGAGATTCCGGATCAACATTTAACACACAGAGTGAGTTTATTTTTCAACTTGATTTGCGGCTCACGACTTTACATTCATTAATGCCGGCCAATTTTATCAACTGAGGATTATAATCGCGGTAAATTGAGTATATTTCACAAACATTTAGAACTCTGCTTGACCAATTAAAATAGCCCTTTAGGCAGAAGGTTCTTGCTTAACTTGCGAGGTGTAGTAAAGGTAGATGTTTCACGAAAATGTTGGAGTATTTGTTTGTGTTTTGTTTAGCTCTTATCTTCAATGTTGGTTCGATCTATCTATGACAGGTAAAGTATATAGTTCCGTGCTGCTGAAAATAATGAAGTTGATGTGAATAGACAAACTGCCAACACCAATACCATTGGAATTGGGGCCGTATCATGAGTCCGAAGCCTCATGATAGGTCCGACGCCTCGTAAGTCCGAACTTTCGGACTTAGGAGGCGTCGGACTAATGAGGCATAACATTTATTTAATAAGTCCGATGTCGGAAAACGAGGCGTTTAATTTGTCGGATCTACGAGGTGTCGGAGCTGTGAGGCGTCGGACTTATGGGCCTTTAATTGGTTAGGGGATGCGATTTTTGTCGGACTTATATAAGGCATTCAACTGATGTGGCGTCGGAGTTATGAGCTGACCCCACTTGGATTAAGAGTCAATGATAGAATTTCGTTTAATGAACCAGCGATGTTTATGTTAAGATGTTTATGGTCATGTTTGCTTTGTAAACATTTAATTTTTAGGAACCGTAAGCACCACATGTGCAATTTTATCTGTACGTTCGCTTTCACTTGCATTCATTTCGTGCCATGTAAAGGTCGACACATTTCAGGAAGTGTTTCCGGATATCTGAATAAGAGATATCAACTTATGATACAAAACAGTTTCTTTTTCAGTAAGTTTCGAGAGAATAAGGCAAGCTAAGAAATATGAATATTTATAGGATGACTTCGTTTAATTTTTCCTCTTTGAATCCCAATTATTAAAACAAACACAATACTCAAATTTACCAATATCAAGTTGATATTGTGTATCAGGACAGTATCAGGGCAGTAATAACCATGTTGTGTAATGACCAGATTTGTGTGGCCTTTAAAGAAGACGAATGTCCGACGAATAAAACTAAATGTACAAACATTTCCAATAAGTGTGGTTAATAAACGACCAAGAAAAGTGGCGATAGTAATATGATTTCATAGACCTTGATCTCCTCGATTGTTCAATTGTCCTTTGTAGTTAATATACAGCGACAGAGTGATTTGAAATCTATCCAGATTTGTTTAACTTTTCATTTCATATGCAGACCCCTCGATGCAGAGTCAGATGTCTTTGATCTTCATTGCAGTTGGTATAGCAGCTGCACTTCTGCTTGTTCTTGTAACGGCGATTGTCTGCTGGAAACGCCAAAAGGGTAAGTGTTTTTGGCAAACGCTGATACTGTAAGCCCTGCTTTTGATATTGGCTGTCTTAATACCGAGCTGTCGTACGACCCTACTGCTGTCGTACTCGTACTGTTATCGTTATTTGGACTTCCTGCTAGACAGTAGTTGCTGCTGTTGTTCCTGCTATACTGCTGCGCTGCCATTCTGCTACTCTGAGGAACTGCTGCTGAGGAAATACTGAAGCTGTTCTGATCACTGTATTGCTGCTAGCAATAATTTGTTGATATTCATTACCTTTGGACTTATGTATACTTTGTGTCATCAATTTCATACAACTGACCCATGTAGGAACCTCAAGTTTTGTTTTATATCATACGAATTAACGGTGGACATTTAGACTGTTCCACTTTGCGTCATCAATCTGATACAATTGACCTATGTATGAACCTCAAGTTTTCTTTTACCGTATACGAAATAACAGTGGACATTTAAACTTTTCTGCCGTAAGTGTATTGCAGTTAGTGTGTTGTGCTTGTTAGTTCAGCCCATGAAGCAATCTTGAAATCTTTTTCTTGATGTTTGCCAGTAATAAGTGAAAAATGTAATTGTTGAGATCAAAACTAAGGGATACAGATAATCAGAACAATATTGTTGGCTGTCCAGAATGCACTATTATCGTAATGCGTTTCGAACGTAAAGGTCATTTGAATTCGTTACACCAGGAAACAGATTTATCCTATATTGGCTATGTTGGCACCTATTAAAAGAAACCGGTTGGGGAGGTGATTTCATTTTCTATGAGTTTCAATTTGTGTGTAAAATCGGAAAATCGAAAGTGTTCACACTGCACTTTTGCAGTGATTCGAGGTAAACGAATAAAGGTAATAATAACAGAAACCAATTAAAACGTTTGTTTTGGTTTAATTTTGTTTTTAATTTTATCTACAGATCACGTTCCCTCTGATGGAAACCAGTAAGTAAAATGTATTTTAAATATTGACATTCAAAGGAGTTTTGCTTTGACTATGTTTTATTAGAATCATAATTTTTGCACTCACACGATAGGTCTTCCAGGATAATAAAACTCATTTCAATGATCGTCATTAACTGAAGGTATTTTCCAAACCTGTCTGCATGTTCTTATGGCAAACTGTATGAACATTATCACAGCATGCTTTGAAACAGTGCCTGCTGGGATAAAATCACAAATGAACTCTTACATATGTTTCAGACGATTCCTTTGAAGTAAGCCAATAAATTACTGTCGCTATGGCTTCTACAGCAATTGATTTGTCATGACTTGACTAATAGTGTTGCACAATATGGTGCCATAAAGCCGAATACTACTTGAAAAGAATATACATGCACCTTAAACAAAGCGTCCTCACTGATGATAGGTCTTTCTGAAGTTATATGTATAGAAAACAAATCTCCATAAACTCGGCATGTACTTTTTTTCCTGTAAAACCGGCATGATTAAACGATGAAGAAATGTAATAATAAGCATCCCAAAACATGACTCCGAAGCTTAATTTCATATAACGATACTTTGCTAACAAATATTACAGGCCTGTTGTTCACTACACACGGACTGGAACCGACAGGCCAACGGCGTCTGTGAGTCCTGTCTTGAACACAGTCGTGGGACCATCAGGTAAACTAAGCTTAATGCCTAAGTGACTGCCGTGCGTGGGATCTTCGTATTCAAAACTGAAACGGAAATAAGAAATGTTAAAGGGACAGGGCCGCTGGAATGTTACCTTTCGCACATCGATCAATGATAACGATCATGTCCGATAACTAAAGAATGACAATTTGCTCTTTGCTTGACGTTGCGTTTCATTGTGACAGGATGCAATTTTTCATTGAATCAAAGTCTGAAATAAGTTCCAACATAAACCCAAGCTGATTCAAATGAATGGGTCTCATGAGACCTCCTTATGCAGTATATCATTTCCGACGATTATCAAAAGTCTATTATTAATTCTACCTTTTAAGCAATGTTGCAATTTTAATGGATGGCTATTTCATGGTTTTGGAAAATTTATAACAAGATGCGGAAAATATCTACGAAGAAAATCCTTTCATTCCGAGTAGCCATTCGCCTTCTGCTGCAACACCGCCCTCTAGCAGTGGCATCCAAGCAACAAGGAACTTCCGCGGTTACAATCTCGGTAATTGATTCAAAGAGTTATTCGATATAAAGTGATTAGTTAACTCCACATTTCGGCTAGTGTACACACCGAAATAATGAGTTAAAAGCTGTTTCACATGGGTGTCGCGAGGGAGGGGGGGGGGCAAGGGGGCGCTTCCACACCCCTGGAAAAGCACCCCAAAAAAAGAAAGATAAAAAGAGGAAAAAAGAAAAGAAAAAGAGGTGCGAAGTCATAGTGGTGTAAATTAATGAGTTGGGGGGGGGGAATGTCCCTGCTCCCCTCTTAAACTGATACATCGAGGATTTGTTGAGAAATACAAGAATTTTTGGGGGATAATATGTTTTGCCCCCCTCTAGAAAAAAATCCTGGCGACGCCCATGCTGTTTCATGTCCAATCCACCTCTGCTTTAGTAATTTACGACCTACACTGTCTTCAAGTGGTGCAACCGGAAACATCATCAACCTGTGTATGTGTTTTGAAGGAAGATTTTTGACATTCCACACTTCTTCAACCTATTTCAAGACTTTGGATGCTTTTGGTTTCAAAACTGATGTTCCAGTTTTCCTTTGGCCTGGCTTTTTTTTTCAGGCAACAGGGCAGTGGAGACTGTTGTCCTCCCTGATCCCCCGGTGGCGCAAAGCGATATGCCGACTACCGGAAACCAACAACCAGCCGCCACCATTTCTAAGGAAGTATGTTAATTAAACTAATGCAATCTTTCAAGTTATCAAAACAAATATGCATCTGGGTTACATTTCCGTCAAATAATCAATTGAAAATAGTAATATCTACCTTTTTGTCTTGGCAGGTCCTCATTTATGCAGACGTCCATCACACAAAGACACGCCCATTGAACGCCCCGCCCATCCGCACAGAGCCTCCCACCCAGTACGCAGACATCGACAACTTTCTGTTATCAACTCCTGTCGAGACCCCGCCTCTTTTCAGAGATGACGCCCCCAGCTCGGGCGTGGAGGGGCAGAGTGTGGATGGTTTGGAGGAAGAGGGCAAAGAAGAGAGAGCTCCGCCCCGCCCCCTTCGGGGTAACCCGATCCCTTATCTGGTACGGGATTGGCAGGTGTAGGCCCAACTGTGTTTGAAATTATATTGAAATGCACGCTAATTGCCGATATGTTCAGTTTGAGGATCACTGGGCGAGCAGCTCAATAAGACCCGTACCAATGAGAGGAATATTTTACCACAATATACACTCTTGCTGACAGAAATGATTTTTGGCAAAAAGGAGCTTTGTAATGTCACATGCAAATAACTTTATTAGTAACAAATATACTTATTTATCCGGTAAAAATGAAAATGAAAGTCACAGAAAACGAAAACACTTTGAGGGGACGTATGTATCACCTCTGAAACTTTTTCCAGCCGTAAATTTCCACGCTTGAAATAAAAAAAAATAAAAAAACAAAAAGACGGCCCTGTTCTGTAGTAAGGTACAAGTGGATGACATGCATGGTGAAAACGCTTTAGCTAAAAAAAAGCAAAATAATGTTTGCTTTTGATGATCAAGATCTTAACATTGACCGCTGGCTTGTTTGGTCGTTGAATATTATTTACCTCAGGTACTTAAAAAAAGCGTTCGGGTAAAACAAATCGGCTGTTGGATTAGGTGAATTCGTAATCGAATAAAAAAAAAATCGGTAGAAAACAATCACCGGAAATTTGTGGTCCTGCGATGAATTTAAATTTTAGTGGGCCTGTTAGACAGTATCCGCTCAGTGGCGCAGCCACTGGGGGGCGTGGGGGGGGGGGGCGACAGCTGAGATTTTGAGTTTCTTAAAAAGATGTCATTGATCTACATGACGCCCCCCATGAAATGTTCCAGCCCCCCCCCCCCATCCCCCACCCCACCCCCCCCCCCCCCCCTTGACAAATTAAACGTATTGGTTGTTAAAGTTGAGGTTAAATTTGGTTTAAGTCTAACAACATAACTGGGAGTAAAGTCGAGGGGCTTTCATAATATATTATAAATTAAAATTAAAAACTGTTTCAATGTTGAAGATAAAAAAAACTAACCCTTATTTTCATTTTAATTCAATTATGTGTATTTTGATGTTACCACAGTAGTTCAGGATGATTTCTGTAAAACATAGAACTTCATAAACAGTCCATGAATTCAGTCTAATATAATACCATATTTAATAAGTCATAAAAGAATATAATGTTGTCGACTACATTGTAGATATAGACTTTATTAATGCGTGTAAAAAAAACAATGTTATAATTTGAGCTGAAGTTTAATGTAAAGCATAAACAAGTTAATGGAAGACTTTGTTGTTAATGTAACAAATTTTGTTTTATCATCACAAGAGGGCGACATTTAAATTAAAGTAATGTGATGCTGTACTTGCTTGGCTAGGTATTTTTTTACATGATGCCCTTTCAGGTGGGACTTAAACTGTAGCTGTTTTATTATCCTCTTTATCTAAATGTACTAAGAAGTTGCAAGAGTGTTTTTTAAGACACATTTTAAGGTATATTTTGAGGATTGTGTTGTATTTGGGACGGATATTCCTTCGGCTATGACAGGGCATGGGTGTGGGAGCTTCACTCCCCTTATTTGGGATTCCATTTATTATTACTACCGAAAAACATTGGTATGCTGAAAATCTAATTTTTTGCAGCTTTTACTCCTCAAGGTTGGGAGTTTGTACAGATTTTCCAGCGGTTGATAGTGGCCATCCTTCCCCCTTGGCATGTTACAACAACATGCAACCATAGAATATCGGTGTGTTGCACTTGTGTATAGATATTGTAACTCGCCATTGTAAGCGATAAGTGCAGCATTTAAAACCACACAACTATAAATTGTAAACGAAGATTCTGGACTATTCTTTTGTAGTTTTTATTAGGAAACATTAGAGGCGATGCTCCACATGGTTTGAATGAAAACCACCTGGTTGCAGACGCTCTGAAATATTTGTTTTAGTTACCTCAAAATATAACACAAATTGAAAGATTCGTTACAATATATTATATATATATATATATATACATTATATGTTTGCAAGAGAGTGCACGGCCGCTTTAGCCGGGGCAAAAGCCAGCGCCCTCAGTGTTTAACAATAGTTTGCCAACATAACGATGCGTGGAGCTTCAGCTTAAGAGGGCGTCGTTTGGTGACAAATTTGGGGTCAATTTTCGACCCACCCGCTATGTTTTTCAATGTTTTCAGGTACGAAGGGGTCAGATGCAAATGATTTTCCACATGTAAATGATCCTGCTGCTTCATAGATGAAAAGAAAATTGTCCTGTTAATATAGCCTTGGTCGTGGCTCTCGTCGTTATTCGTCCGTATACGCGGTAATCAATCGGCGGCCTACACTCATAGCCAAATCAGAGTCAGGCTTACTCTTCAAATGGAGTCCAGCAACTATGTCAAAAACGACTCCATTTTTGGAGACAAACGACTCCGTTAAAGAGTCCTTTTTTACTCCCTTTCAAGAGTCACAATGACTCTCATAAGCTTTTGAAAGAGTCACTGTTGCGAGTTTACTGTGACTCTCCTGTGGGGCTAGGGTGACATGGTGGTTTTTCGGTGGAGTTTAAAAGGCCAAATTATAGTCATGGGGTCTATTGCAAAACATTGTAGTAGCTTGTTCAATGAGGTAAATTTACATGCAAGGCAAGAGTGCTGTCCAACCAAAACGATGACATTTCGACGTTTGTAAAATCAGGGTGATTATACACACGTCAAAAAGTCGTCCCGTCATATAGTTTCATTCGAGTGTGTCAAGCGGCTCGTCGTCGTGAGTTTAGTTTAAAAACTCGGTAATAAACCTTTGCTCAACGCCTGTTGTGAAAATAAAGGCACCTGTGCCGAATACGAATGTTGTGGCTCATTATTTGTAATGATTACTGTGAATTCCGACTTCACTTAAAAAAAAAAAATCAAAGCTTGACTCCACCGACCGAGCACAGCAAGCAACGAGAGTGCCAAGATGGCGACAAACATAGCTACGTAAGCCGGAGACCGGCCGTATCGATCTAAATGTAGGAGAGTTAGTGACTAGACTACGGCAGCAACGCGCTTTACGCGCCATCAACAACAACAACCAACTTCGCGCAGCCGGCCACCAATGACTCTTGGAGAGGAGTCAAATTGACTCTGTGTTAAAGTCCATTTTACTCTTTAGGGACCATTTAACCTGTCTGACGAGTCATTTGACACCAACGACTCTGGGAGGGGAGAAATGTTCCTTCCTCACGTTAGTTATTTAAAAGCTAGAATGAGAAGAAGTGAAAAACGCTCACTGGGGTTCGAGCTCGGATCACCTGATTAGAAGTCAGGACTACTTCCTACCAGTTCACGAATCCGCTGCCGATCGTCGGTGATTATCTTAAACACCATTGCCCCTTTTTATATAGCTTATCCTCTAAAGCTCTGGACAACATGTATATACATAAAACAGAATAAACATAACTTACACCCTCCGATCTCAAAAGTATACTATAATCCAACTGAGACAGCAAATCGTAATTGATGGCGTTATAAACCTGCGTAAGTATACTAAAAGTATCGTAGATGGCGCTCGACAACCATCTGTACGATGTTTGGGGAAAAAATCATTCGCGGTCTGGAACTTACCGCCGACCCAATTCGTCCAAATGAGTACCGGTTGCAGGTTGGAATACACGTAAAATGTCTAAAAATTTTCTCGTCGGGCGTCGCTTTTCCTTAAAGTTAAGCCGTTAAGGTGAATAATGCAGCGTCCCTTTAACAGCGGCCAGCACATAATTGCAGTCATAGGCGATTTCTAAATGTTACGTAACACTTCATTTTAAATGAAACTGAATGTGCACACAACTAAAGTTCACGTTGGCGGGCGAAATCTTTGAAAATTAATTTCTCCCGTTTGGAAGACCGTATCTTCATGCAACTTTCAGGGTTTACTTTCCTCATAATGATCCAAGTATGTGCTAAAAATCGTGTTATGTGTTCATTACTTTCGTTGAAATTGGAAAAAAGAGGCCCATCTCCGTGCATCATTGAAAGTTGTAACACTGACGTTTGCAAACGCTGGCAATCTTTTCAATCCTCACGGATATTAATAAGGTTCCTATCCATTATAATTTGCAGTACACATTTTGAGAAAAGCCTCCTTTACGAGTTATTAGTTGATTAATGTCAACCTTTTTGCCGGCTTCCCTTGGTCGATATCGAGACCCACGCCAAAACACGCCAAGTGACGCTAATGAATATGCTAATCTACAATACGATATTGTTTGGCTTAGCCGAAATCGGTCAACCGTAGCTACTAAGGCGCTTTGATGAACAATGCATGTGACTTGGATGGCACAAATCATCGTCGAAATGTTGCATGTAGATCGTTCAAATTGTAACACTAGCGGTTGCAACAACAGATTAAGCTGAAATTCGGAATATACTTAGATGATATAAGTGTTCAACTGCTCGTGAAATAACAATTTTGAGAAATTCCTAGAAATAAATATAACTAGAGATTCGCGTTTGTTGTTACAAACGCAGAGTGGTCAGGTAGACAACTACTTTATGAAACACTGTCCAGTTAAGTCATTAATATTTTTTATGAAAGAACAAAGGATCACGAAATCAAATCCTTTCCCAGGACAATCAATTATTTTGTTTAAAAATACATCTTTAACGGTGTGATAAATTTTAGTAAACATTCTTCGTACACATACAAGTTATTTCTTGCTTGATAACGTCATTAGTCATAACAGTAAGTGAATACTAATTTAGTTCGAAGTGTATGTTCTTTGTGAAGTTAAATAACGTATGAAAATATGGAAAATATAAGTGTATGTTTTAATCACACCGAACTTCCGGTTTGATGACGTCACGGTATTTGGAAGCAAAGGTAAACATTGTAATGGTATCGTTATTTGGGCTAAGATGTACGACATGGATCAAATGATGGAATTAAAAAACCACTATTTTATATGCAGCTAGGGGGCGCCCTTTCGGATGATGACGTCATCACACTGTTTTTGTGTCTGGCATTCTGCACTAAACACTTTCATAATATATATGCTTGTAGTAAAATACTTCCATTTGTTAGTTATATTAAGTTTTTATTGCACTTCCTG